CCACACCCCACCCACACCCACACCCACACCCACACCCACACACACCCACACCCATACCCTCAATAATCCATATCATCTATTTTATAGATAGATATTATATTAAGTAATTCACTAACTAAATAACCATTACATTGTTAAACTGTATCAACTATTGAATCAATAAAATCTGATTGTGTACGAGAATAAATAAAATCATTAGTCATAGTTTTTCCTTTCTTTTTTTTTGTTATTATATCTATAATAACAAAAAATTTTATTTTCGTTTTGTTCTTGAATTAGTATATATTGATCAAGTGAATGTCCTAATATATAAGATAAATAATTGAGAACTTCTACCATATTTACCATATATTTCAAGAATATGTTGAAAATGAAAGAAATTTATTGGAGGCCATTTTTATTCATATTCTAATATATGTTTATAATGATTTAATGAATAATAAAATTCATGTAACTTATTATTATTTAGTTGATAAATTTTATAAATATCTAATATAGCTGATTTATTTAATAAAGATGATTGATAAAGTTCGAATTATTTTGTTAAAAATATAATTGAATAAAATGCTGTTCGTAATGTTGAACGATATTCTAATTGAAATCGATTTATATAAATAACAAATAGAAGTATTTTTCATCGCAATATATGTTTTAGAAATCTTGAATCAAGTCTCATTGTTTATATGTGATCCTTGAATAAGAGCAGGTAAATCAGCTCAGCAAATATAAATTGTTGGTTTTTTTTATTATTATTAAAATATTGAGTGGAATTCCTTTCACAACAATTGACAAGATATGTTTTTTTTTAAATTATCTTGTTAGCAGTGGCGTAGCTAGGAATTTTTGAACTATGGGCCGTTTACCAGCAAAATTATTTTGAGCGCTGGGCAATAATGGGCAATTGAAAAATCAATTGGGCTATTACTTTTTTCAAAAACTGTCTTCTTTCAGAAAAGTTGACGTTTGACGTAAAGAGATTTCTTACTCTCAACTAAGAGAAGCTCTATCTCTTTTGCTGTTCTTATGCACAAAACGAGCTTTCGATTTTCACATAATCGCATACTTAACTTCAAAGAAAAGTATAAAAAGATAGAATTGTAAATGATGATGGTAAGTATAGTAATTCCGATCCGTTGGGAGTATTTTTAGCAACTGTTATCGAGTTTTTCGGATTTTTTATATATTTTTTCCACAAAATAAGCAAAAATATATCTTTTTTCATATGTGGCGTACTTTTTTTTTATGTAAACGCTGTTTGTGTAGAAAAGAAAGGTTCAGGCTGCTTGAATCAGTCAGAATTCATCCAGAGATTCTTGTTATACTTTGGTAACCTACTTTTGCATGAACTGATACTATCACAACAAACCTGTGTAATGGTTTGAAGTTGTAGTTTATTACAGATATACTTGTACTGCTCTTATTATTTTTATAGCGTATCTCCTACAAACTTCAAAGACAATAAAAGAAATGTGATACGAAAGTAGGTTACAGATTCCGTTAATGAATGATATTTTTCTGACGAAGAGCTAATCAATATGAAAAATCAGTAGAATTTTCAGTGTTGCGAATTTCTAAGTTTACTTATCGACGTTGATTGAAACAAAAATGATGGAAACGCACAGTAAACATTACTATAAGATAGCTGCAACCCTATCACTGTATCGACTGGGATACGAATATGGACGGTAGAGAAGTAGATTTCTCTGTCATATGGCCAGAGATATGAAAAATGACCTCATGTTAGTACTCATTTCGGTCGGATTCACTCAAACTCTCTCAGCGTTATCGATAAAGAAAAAACACTATGATTAAAATTCTGCATTATTTCACACACCGAATCTGTTTCTAATTGATGACAAAATCTGTTGAGTTCATGATAGTTTTAATTTTTAAGTTGCGTGAGTTATGTCACCAATCGTCCTGTCAAAGTATTGTATTTAGACTATGGCATTGCTATCATATAGGTTTAATATAGTTTCATAAATGCAGAAAAATCGTTGATCATTTACTCAAGTTTTCGATTGACGAATTGAAAAAGAGTGACGCGGGGACTGACGAAAAATACCGCTGAATTGTAATTGATGTAATTATTTGTTTAATCAGAAAAGACCGTTCTACATAACTACTTAGATTAGATTATTATAGGAAACAATTTGATAAATTAAAGTTATTTCGACTCTGAACATGCGTGTGTCTCAGATATTTTGGTATTGGGCAATAACTATCTTCCCGGAAAATTATTGGGCAATAATTTTTCAATTACTGGGCAATTGCCCAATGGCCACCCCCTGGCTACGCCACTGCTTGTTAGTATGAATATCATTGAGAATAATTGAAAGAGGAATCTTTAATGCGATCGGATTTAAACGATAACTGTACGAGTGTTAGATGACGTTAGAGTTGAAAAACAACTCATATAAAGATTAAAAAAAATGTTCATTATAGCTGATAGTAGCCTTTTATTAGTCATTTGAGAGTCATCCATAAACGGATGTCAACAAAATGAAGGTAAACGATCATAGACGTCTCGACATCTTGTCATAGTGCCGGTATATTTGGTCTAGTCCGAGTAGGATCGTTTTCTAGTGGTCTTGATCTAGAGAAAACTATCTGAGAACTTATTTGTATCATATCTAAACGAAACTCTTCAATACTAGATAATTGGTTTACAATAAAAGAATATTTAATTAATCTTTAGGTTCGGCTGGACCAAGTTTTTTCCTCATGATATCAGAACTAAAATTGACTTTGCAAAGTTTCAGTTCTAATGTTTATCATGATGCTTTTGCCGTTTTTTAAAGGATTTTTCGCGAAATTTTCATTTCAAGTTAAATTGATATTGAGCAGTACTTCGAAAGGAAGAGTTTCTCATAATTCTATGATAAATTGTGTATGTTAGTCGTTTAATATAAAAAATAAACAGAATATTAGAATAAATGCTATTTTTATCAGAACGTTCTGTATCTGTGGTTCCTTACCTGATCTACAAAACGGTCTCTTTTTTCTCTAACGATATGTTCCTATTCTTTTCACAAAAAAAAAGATTTGTTTGACGATACATAATATAAAGTTAGATATTTATTATATTTGATATATATATTCGTTTTTCTCTTTCAATGTCATGTTTTATTCAATTTTAGAGCACATGACAAAATAATTGACTAAATTTTGTCTCTGTTTCAATAAATCAATTATATGAAATAGCATAGACACATAACACAAACGATGATCACGTTATGGAACTGAAAATAAAGACTCATTCTAAGAATAATAAGATGGTGATAATGTAGAAATTTCTTCATCCGTTTCGTATGGGATTGTTTTTTTTCCCGTAAATTTCATATTTATTTTTCAATTTAAACAAAAATCTGACATGATAGGAAATCAAACTGATTTCCAGCAAGTTTTCTAATAGGAAAAATTGAAGAATATTTTCATATCGATTTATAAGATTAGATTAAGAATCTCAAAAAAAAAAGGGTAAACTAATAAGTATTTGTGGCGTTCTTGTTTGATTCGATATATCAATAAAACGACATTGTTTTTCATATCTGATGTTCATTAGTTATTTATTGCTTTTAACGAGGTTATCGAATATAGATTGAACATATCTCGATGACTTATGCTTTCTGTAATATATGAAGAAGTTTCGAAGAATTATTCTTAAATGAGTGAGTTGACATAGCGTGGTTGTTCTTAATATAAATAAAAGAAAATAGCCTTATAATTGACATTTTGTCTGATAGGAAAATAATCACTGTTGATAAATGTTGTTGCAGAAAACTTTCTAGAGAACAATTTGCTATGTTATTATCTATATTAAAAAACAATTTTCGGTTCAGCTTTGATTAAATTTTTATTTCGCTAAATTTTGTCTAAATTTAATTTAAAAGCTTGTTGAAGATCAACCGACGTTAAAATTTCTGTAGAAGAAGTTCTATGAAAAAGGGTGGGGTGTGGGTGTGTAGAATGACATTTAATTTACACCTACACCCACTATCACACCCACACCCTGGTGATCAATATTTTGTAAGTTTCTTTTTTTTTCTTGTTTCGATTTATAATGATTTTTTCCTTTTTAGGTTTATTGGGGCCAAAAATTACGAATTTCTCAAACACTTGAACCTCTTGAATATAAAGCATAATCATCTAGTGATCGTCCGACACCTATTACTGCTAATGGTGTTGTAAACTATTGTTTATCTTTATTAGATGCTACAAGTCATGGTGAAATTTATAATTTACATGCTATTGTTGTTAATCAAAATAAAGAAAAACATCCAAAACGTACATGTCAGAAATTAGCTATTGAAATGGCAGAAATGTTCTCTGCTGCTAGTGAGTTTATACTTTCATCTTTGACTATATTTCATATTTTAATTATTGATTGTAGTTGATTTTGGTAAAACAGGATATCAAATAGATACAAATCGTATAGAAGAAATTCGAAAAATTGTTGGTCATAAATATCCAGATTTTCTAATGAAAACTTCTTCATATCAATCTGAATCAATTTTGGGTATACTTTATCGTAAAGCACTTAATTTCAAAACTCAAAATCCACAATTATTTGAAGGTCAAGATATAAATGCCTCAATAAATCTTCTACTAAGGTAATTAATTATAAAACAAATCACTTTTTATATTTTATTTTAGATTAGTGAAAAATATTTTCGCTTTTATGTAAGAGTTCGTACTGCATTAAATATTGATCCAGATATCATTCATCATGAATTACACTTAATCTTTGGTAATAATGCTCCATCTAAAATTATAATTGATCAATGGTCTGATTATTATAAAAAGAAAGATGCAAATACAACACAATCGATAGATTCATCAACTAATACATCAATTGAAGATATAAAAGAAGTTTGTTCACAAATGGATAATAATCTTCATATTACAGATAATGAAATATAAGAAAATGTTAATATGAATTCTGATACAAATGAAAAAGCAAAAGCACTCACAGATAACTAAAGATTAATTGTTAAATATGTAGAAAACAGTCCGAAAAGTTTTCTAAGATAAATACCTCTCTTCAATGTATCTTTTTTTTTAAAATGTGAATTTTTTTTAAAAGTTATTTGCTATATTATAGTGCTAATAAATCTTACACATTTGAAATATGTTGTTTCCAGTGGTGAACAAAGATTGAACATTTGGATTGTAAATAAATTTTTCTATAAGCTGTATAGGATATGAAACTTACAAGTATGAGATATTCTGATTACAAACAAAAAATATACTTCGATATACAAATTTTCAAAACTAATAGATATTTTTGTACTATAGATGCTAGTAAGTGTGTAAGATTCTGTTCACATACAGTCATTAGATAATATCATTAAAAATACAAAAAGTACATTTTGATAATATTAAATAAAGATTTAACAATACTCAATGTAATTGTTGTTGATAAACTATATCGTACAGCACGCTATGCAATATTAGATTCATGTCAGTACTAATCCCAATTCTTAAATAGTTAGTTAATGTTTTCGCTTTATTTTTATAAAGATATATATGTAGATAAGAAAATGAATAATTTATAGTTAGAAAGAAAAAAAAGTATCGTTCGGTTTTACTGAACATATTTTTATTCGCTATGTATGTATTTTTTAATGCTCAAGTGAATAATATAGGATCAATTTCGCTTGAATGATTCTAGAAAAAGTGAAGTACTGTCGAGCATGATCATTGTGCAGCTGCTTTCAAGTTATTACTCTTGTGTGGTCGAAAAAGCATAAAAGACGCTCATAATGCTTGCATTATCATCATGATGACAGCAACTGCGTGATAAACATTACTGATAATCAATTGATGCACATGCATAGATTAAACTTCTATTCGCTCGACGTACTATATTTTATACATGAACAGTGATATTTCATGTGTTTTGATCAATGAAAGCAAAGACGAAAAAAAGAATATCCATTCCATCATTATTAATTGATTCGATATTTAATTTTCTCTTCTAAAGTCAAGAAATAAAAAACAAAGATGGTTATAATTATCAAGTCTTTTTTTCTTTATCTGAATCCAGTGTGATTTCAAAATTAACTAAAACAGATTTTTCGTTGTGGTAAAATAATTTTAACAGTATTAAAAAATGATGAAGTAAACAAAGACGTTCAATCAATATAAATTTACTTTCACACTCTATCAGAAATATTTTCTGAAGAACTAGTATTAGACGAAAATTTATAAGAAATAATGATAATTCTCTCTCAAAAAACGAATGTCATTCATAGAACAACCTACATGTGTCAGCATATAGCTGTTTCCATTAAAATTTGTTTTTCTTTTATTACGAACAAGCGCACGAATATTGAAAAACGATGAATAATATCTTAATCATAATAAATATTAGACTTGCGCATAAACTTGAGAACACTGTTCTATTTTTTTTTATTAATTATTTTTATTAAAAAAATGTCTAAAGAGAAAAACAAAACAACATCTAAATTCTTGATTATTTTATTTATAAGAAATATGAATTATAAATAACAATAAGTTTTTAAAAAGTTCTATAAAATATTTGAAAACTATGGTCTACGAACTTCAGGATAACCAGGTTCAAAAGTGATTGCTATTCTTTCACTGATCGAATAGAAATTAAATTGTATATCTATTCGTTCTTGCTCTTGATGAATAAATAATTTTGTTTTGTGAGGAATTTCAGTTTGAACAACTTTTTGGATATTTAAATATTTGTCTACATAATCTAATAATTCTCGTCCTATATATTTATACCAACCATAGTATTTATGTCTTATACTTTTTACTGGTGAAAAGAGATGATGAGATTTTGTTTCAAATGTTCTATAAAATTCAGGATTACAATCATTGGCAAAACGAAATGAATAGATGGTTAATGAGTCGATGAACGTTCGATCAGCTGTATAAAGCCAAACGAGGGAATGTGCCTCTTTATTGTTGCGTACAGGGATGCCATATCGTAGATTATTTTGAATCATTCTTTCGAATGGTATATGTTTAATATTAATTAATAATTGATTGAACAATAAATCATAGAATTCTTGGTAATGATCATCTTCGTAATCCATTACAGCATCTTGAGCTTCTTCAATAGATAATTGCTTAAAAAATTGCTGCTTTGGCATCTTACTTCAATAGAACTCTCCGCAAATGAAAATGTAATTTGTATAGACTTATATAATATGAACATAGTTTGAAATTTTCCAAGGCATCCATAATACAAGAAATAGTCAGTGGGAAAAAAACCACTCGTAAACCAACAAAAGTAAAACTTGCGTAAGTCGAGCCTTTTTTTGTACTCTATTGTGAAGAGAAAAAAGTGACTCAAACGACTCGTAGACAAATAAATGTCAACGGCAACCAATCAACTTTAATTCATCAGGGCTGAAAGAAAAAACTTTTTTTTGTGAGAATAGAAAAGAAAGAAGTATTTCATTTATCTGTTGTTTTTACTATGAAAAAGCATGCGAACAAGTTTTATTATTAGTCCTGAGATAGAAATAATTTTTTTCTCATATTTTTGGATCTCAGTTAATGTGAAAATCAGAAATGAAAATGGTATTAAAAAATGATTATTCCAAAAAATGGTTTTGTTTTATTTTTCTCATGTATAGGCACTCAAAACTGTGTTCTTTCAAATAAAACACGTCAAGGTTAAACTAATATTACATTATTGAGAAATAAATTTCGATAGTATTTCAAAGAGCTCTGCATCATTTATCAATTAAGCATAATAAAAATAATAGATAGTTATCAAAAAAAGAAATTCGACCAGTTTATTCATTATTAATTAAAGAGTAGTTCAATTTATCACAACTATTATTTTCCCGGTGACCATTACCTTAAAAAAAACAACTATTAAGCTTATCTTGCAATATATCATTATTATAATCTTCTCTTAATGAATGTTTTCATTGGTTTCATTGATCTTGCTGATGTGTTATTACTTTTATCTATTATTGAATTGTTCAATTGATGAAAGAAATAACTCTCTCAACTTAATTGTAGCTCCTAGAACTTATTTTTTCGAAATTCGTTGGGATTTTTTGAATAATCTTCGTATTTTTTACAATTTCGAAATTTATGAAGAGTTGTGAATGTGGAGGATTTTGTATAATAAACCTGGCGACAGAATAATATAGGGGTATCAATTGATATGTATTTTCAGTTTATTTTATATGCAAATAAAGTTATTTGTAATTCACAGTTTACTAATTAAAAATTAAGTTAAATTATTATGTTTAATTTTGTAGTCCAAATAATTCAAGTTTAAAGAATAAATTAGATTACAGATTATGACAATTTATTTTAAACTCATAGAAAAATGATATCCCTAGAATGGCATATTTGAAATAGATTTTGAAGAATACAAATATGCGTTCTTATATGGAAAGATTTTTCAGTAAGTTTTGATCTGTTTAATCAATAGATTTATTGATGAAGCAGTTTGAAACTAAGATTAACAAATTTTTATGAATCAGAAGAATATTCGAAGTTAGACAAAGAAGAATGGATCGAATAAAGATTCTAGCATTAGATTTATTAACTGAGTAGTCATCACTCTAACCACTGAGCCATTCAATGTTGTTAGCTCATGGTGAAAATCTTAGAACGACAACTACCAATATAGATCGATCCTGCTACATTTATAATGAATCCATTACAGATAGAATAGATTCATCAACAGAAAAATGATTCTCTGAGCCATAATTTGATCTTAAGGAGTTTGGATGATAACTTCTACAATACAATTATGTTTTGAGAATAAATACACTGGATAGAAGTTAATTGAACAATTAATTAATTTTATATTGAGATGCTTTTACGTTTACTCTATAAAAGATTTCAGTTTTTCATTATATTCAATACATACTATAGAAAATATATTGGCGAACTTCAAAAATATTCAATCGATCCCAAAAAAAGCTTAAGTGCCGCTAGTCTCTCTAACTTAACGTTGGTAAATTTCAACATATAAATAATAATTGATTTTTCTAATAAACTGTACTTCCAATCATAATTGTATTTTTTAATTTAAGACTATCTCACGCTGCACAAATTGAGTTTCTGATAGAAACTTGTGTCTAATAATGACAATTATTTTTGAAAGAATTAAACTAACGAAAAATGGGAATCAGAAAAGTTGTTCCTGCAGGATACTCATTGCAATGCAGTGAGTGCTACAGAAATGAAGAAAAATACACCTGATGAATAGTTAATCTTTTCTAGAAAATGAAGTGATATGTAAAAATAAAGCGTAACAACGCCGATCTATGTATATTATTTCCTATTGTAGTAAATAAAAACCCGGATTAATTGTGTTAGTTGTGTCTAAGTAAATTCGAAATTTCTCTTTATTGTAACTTTGCAGTAACTCAACATGTGAGATACATGTAATAATCGACAATGAAAAAATATTCATTCTGAATAGAAAACCTGTACTTGTTTCTATGCAATCGTAAAAGTACTCAATAAAACTTTCTCGATAGATAAACAATTCTTTTTTCACTTAACAATATCTGTTTAAAATTGAATACAATTACAGATAGTTATCACCGATATAAGGTGAAAAATCATTTGAACGAGATATAGTATTTATTATTCGCTGTTGTCGTAGATATCATCAATAGATGGAAGAAACGGTATCATTTACTTTGTTGCAAAGATTAATGAGTGTGAGGCTAACATAGGAAGAAATGAATCCCTATCAGGTCATGAAAAATAACATGAACTTCATTTGGCAAGTGTTCTATCCAGTAGATTGAGGATACCATGACAGTATTCATCATTGTGATGCAACATTGACCATGATCTTGGCATGCCATAGAAAATGAATATCTTTTAGATATACTTTTTATCTCAGAATATAAGAAACTTAAAATGAAGCAAGATTATCTCTTTTATCAATATATTAGATATGACAATCAGAATACGATTCGCATATATGAAATGCTTTAAAAACTGAGGCTACCTCTATCTTATTTATTTCTTCAGTTTTGAAGTTAGTCCTAATATAAATAACTACAAACGTACCACAATAAGTAATAAGCTAAAACCGCGCCCGTGTGGCTCAGTGGCTAGAGCACTGGTCTAGTAAACAAGGGGTCGATATTTCAATTCTGTGCTCGGGCAGAAAAATAAAATATTTCTTTTTCTCGTTTAATCTAGATAATTGCTCATATTTCTTCGTTTTTAACAGAAATAGATTGGCAATAAAATGACGAACAGTTGGCAATTTGAATTTTTGGAAATATTTTTTGTGTATCCACTCGTTTGAATATTATTTATAATAGTTATTCCTGTTTACCGAAATGTGTGTGAGTGTAAGCATGTGCTCTATCTGTACGTGTATGTTTGCAGAGGTCGATGTGTGTACGACCGTGTATGTTGGTGTGAGTATCGACGCGTCCGATGATGAAGTAACGATTCAGAGCAAATAACTAGCCACATTGAAATCCGTAGTTTTGTTTAGCTTCCATTGACAGCTGTTCATGTTTGCTGAATATTTCAGTTCCAAAATATTTATGAGTTCAGAACTCACAGAATCGGAATATGTCTCTCGACACATATTTGAACACCATCGCAAGATGTTTATTATACAGAGGTTTTCTTTGCTATTTGAAATCAAAATGAAGCTGGTTTTTGAGGGGCTACCGGGATTTATTTTTTCGAAATTTATCTTTTCTGTGCGATTTATTTATTTACTGGAGATTTATTAACGATAATTATGTTTCAGCGCATCAACACCCTCACTCTTATCCTTACCCACACTCACCTCCACACCATCGCTCACACATTGTATGTATTATTGAGAAATTATATGGGATTTATCTCAAAGGGCTTACGGACTAATTGAAAAGTCCCAATAAATCTCGATAAAATAAGTCCCGGTAACTGTTGGTATCTCAATGAGATGCTTCTTCAGACATAAAATTGAAAAATTGCACTAGTTTCTTTTTCTTTTCTTTCTTAATCATTCTTTGATAACGACTGACAAAAGAACTAAACTCTTATCTATCCTTTTCTATGACTATCTTGCTTTTTCGTAGCACTATTCGAAAAATGACTAAAAAAACAGAAAATAACATACTAGTCTGAATTTTTTGCTTTTATTTTTACTTATATGTTACTGCATCTCTAGTTATTTCAAATTTATTATCTGAACATATGTCTCATCGTGAAATGCAGTTTTACTAGATGAGTTTTACAAATTAGTTAATTATATTAAATTAAACAATAGTAGATGATTTATTCATATCCAATATAAATTTAAAGTTCTTATCAAGGCAAGATTTAAATCTAATTTTATTTCAGTGACTTGATTGAAATTGATTTACTCTAAAAACCGATTTGAACTCATGCAAAAACCATAAAACAAAGTTGAAATTTGTACGGATTGAAAAAATTAATATTCAGTGTTTAGTACTTCTAATACAAGCTAAAATGAAACAAAAAATATAATCCGAATTTTACCTTTATTTTGTTCATCAAATAATAAACTAATTGTTCAGACAACTTCAATGCATTCAAATGTTGGCAATCAATTGCTTCAATCATATTTTCAGTAAAACTATGTTTTTTTGAAATAAAATAAACGAGATTTTTAAAATTCAGAATATTTTAGTGACATCCACAAAGTAAGAAGATATAAGGTCTAGATCTGAACAGTTTATAAAATTTGATGAAATGTTTTTGATTGAATAAATATCAATATGAAGACTCATTTCAAATTAGGAATAAATAGTTCATAACTTTCAAGTTGTAATTCACTTTTCTTCTTCTCACAATGCTCTAGCCAAAATTGAATTTGTTAAGTTATTTGCTTCTTACTCTAATTCATTAGTCGAATCATATGATGATGATTTCGATGTACTATTTAACACCTCTCTTGATAATACAAAAGCCGTCCTTAGCACTCACATATCTTGTCTTGTTTTAATGATTATCGGCTATTGTTACGAATGTATATCAAAAAAAGGCTTTCTCTTTAGAAAACGGAATGTATACGGTCATAATTTATGTATCCATTCATGGTGCATATATTTTCTATGGTTGTCGTTATTCCTGATATAGCAAAATAAAATGCACTCGTTCGAAGTCCGTCATCCACATCTAATACTTACCA